CAAATCCCGCTTCAGACCAGCTGCTAGCAAGTGTACTACTACTTAATTATCTGTTCTCTTGACATGTTCACCCTCTATTATGAAAAACAATTTTCCAATACTGCAATGCATTCCATCAAAACACAGGTGTCAATTTTTCTAGTTGTATAAAACCTAGTATAAAAAACTAAATTCTAAATCTGTGGACAGTTATGATTTTTCAACCTTACACAATACGCTTCGACATAATCAGATAAAAAATAAACTTGGTAAGCTAATAAAGTAGGCTTTTGATAAATCGGGGTTTGATTCACCAGTTGCAAGAAAACCCGTTATTTCTTTAGCTAAAGTCATTGATCCCGGACATGCGCAGACATGATTGAGGCTTTCACTTGACTTCAAGTTTTGCTTGACGATATTTTGGTTCGCTATTGATACATATGAGGTAAAAGCAAAGGTCAAAATCTAGAACGTCAATCATTGATATCGTCACATTATCGGCAACTTACTACGCGTACTTTTTTATGCATCTTTATCAAAAATTTCAGAAAGGGAACATTCATATTTTTTAAATTGACAAATGACATTTTAACAACAACAACAACTACCTTGCATGAGTTTATAATATTGTTTTAATGAAATTTTATTAAACAAACTCAGCTTAAGAAAATCTACCCAATAAAGCTTATCGTAATAGTCAATATTAGCCGTGTCCGTTAGACATAACTGTATTGATTACAAAATTGAAACATTTAAACTAAATTTTTTTATTTTTTTATTATTAGTACTACTAGTAATTTAGACGGCGTGCAAAAAGCCGAGTCCACGAACGTAACGTCTTCAAATTACTGAAACGACGTTATTTTCTAATAATTAAAATTGACGTATAGACGCTATTCGTCTGCAAGCAAATTGTTTTTTTTGGTTTTTTTTTTTCTTCTTTCTCACTACTTGAATTATTATTTTTTGAGATTACGTGTATTTGTAATTGACGAGGCGGCTTATTGTTAATTGTCTTTTTTTTTTTTGTATACCATAAGTTTCGTTATATGACCCATTGAACTTATTGAACATCGATTTTGGGAGCGATTAGTTAACATTTCATGTTTTAAAAATGTTAAATACACGGCTTAATTCGGAGCATGAACACATCAAATTAATCATAGTCACAAAGAAGACAAATTGGACCTTAACTTCCCGTTTTAAATAAATACAGATATATTTAAAGTATTTCAAACTTTATTGACTCATATTTTAAACTATTATTTGACTGTTCACTCATAAAGGCAGCACAGTGTACTTCTGTGGAGGGAATTGTCAATATGAACTGTTCCATCGACACAAAGTTCAAGTTTTGAACATATATACACTACAGAAAGCGCAGAAACTATAGCGGGAATACGTTTTATGAGTTTTTTGTTCAAGTGGATTGTCGTTTACCATGCCAAAATAATATCCATGTATTACTTTTGTTCCGGGTAGATAGGTAATCCCCCATTTGTCCGTCGAATCTTTGCGTAGAACAGTCGTCTGTGTGTTGGCTTTTACTAAATAATAAGGCTGATTAACATCGTCTGCTTTAACGGCAAAAATTGTGCCAGTCGAAACAAGGTCGTAGATTTGTTCAATTTCATCGGCGATTTCTTCATCTTCTGATTCCTGATCAGCGTTTTCTTTGATCATTTTTAAAATTGAGAAGTTACCAATTTGATCAACATTCAAGCAATCATTGTAATCTGTGTTTAAACAATTTTCACACGTGTAGCAGGACAGCTTTCCTATTTCTACTGTTGCTGATTTCGAAGAACATATCTGGTGAATTTTTCTGTTCTCTTTTGCGGGTTTGAAATATTGATCACGGTTTCTATTAATCGTATCTATATATCGAAAAATCCTACGTGAACATTTCGAATCCTCAGCCGTTTTGCAAAGATTTTCTGATGCAAAGTCATATGAATCTCGTGCATTTTGTATCACACGCTGCCCACGAATGATAGACAAGTCGGCTTGCTTTTTGATAAAACCAACTGCTGCATCTTGAGGTCCACGAGCATGTGAAGTTTCAAAAGAATTCCTAACAATTTTGTCATATCCTAAATCGGAACATCCATAACTGATATCTCCTATGCAGTGACGACTTTTTTACTGGGCACTACACCCGTCGGTAAACTCGTGCATGACAGACACATCGCTTGATATCGATATTAAGTAATCACTAATTCACTTCTGAACCTCATGTGTAAAATGGTGATCATGCTTCTGGTCCGGACTGATTACAAGAAAATGTTCTGTAATAATGGTTGGGTCATTTATATTACTATCTATTCCGTCATACTCCGAAATCGCGTGTCTGTAAAATTGTCACATGAATAGAAACTTCTTGTTTTTGGAAAAAACAAGACTGGATTTCACACTGTTCTGTGCATTTATAAATTTCAGAGAAGTCATGGATTGCAACACAATGCGTGACTAGTAAATTGTTAATCAAAGTTTTCATTTGTTTTGACTGCCAGTAAGCTCTAAATTGGTGGTACGGACAATTCTCAAGTAATTGTTTCACATAATCAAACATGTCACATGCTTTAGAGTTTTTCTTTACAAGAACAAGCTTTCTAACTACTTTGTCTCCTTATATTTTTACATTTTGATATTCATATCGTTCCCATGAGACCTCGACCGCTTCTTTTTTGTCTAATTACTCTGGTAAAAAGTCAAGTTTGTCAACACCACACTCCGTACATTCCCGATTCAAACAAGACATTTTATGTTGGTGCGTATTGGCAGATCGGGGACATAATGTTGCATCAACAAGTTCATGTAAGGAGCCATACACAGAAAACGAACAATTTTCTTTTCCAATAAGTGTTTTCTTTCGAAATTGCATGCATGACTTAAACAGACTTTTCATCTCAACCTGATGCCGACAACATCATGTAAGTTTATCTTTGTGAGTAGCCGGACGAACAAAATTAGGCTTTCATTTTTCAAAAGCACGCTGCCCTATCTTTATTTCAGGATGTTCTCTCATAAAATCTAGATATATTTCCGTTTGGGTATTTTCCTTTATATAGCACTGGTGGGATGAATAAAGTTTTGGACCTAGACGGACACGTTTAATATCATTCTTATTGTTCGTAGGTCTACTGCTGCTTTCTTTCAACCAAAAATCGTGCACCTGCTTTTTTGTTGTATCGTCTAACGCATCACGCCTAGTCTTTCTTGATTTTCCAGAATGAAGCACTTTAGCTCTGAAGGATTTGCCTTTTTTGGATTGTTTTCCGATTAACGCCTAACTTACTTGCTAAACTTTTAACTGCCCCCTTTTTATTAGTTATTTTAGGACCTTTGACAGTAGATGCAACTAGTTTTAAGCTTGCTATTGCATCTTTATTTCTTTTGTATTTAACAGACGTGATAATTTCTTTGATGCTTTGAATGGCCGATGTCTTTAACAATCGATGAATGGAATGTTTTGACAGCAGGAGATTTCATTGTTCTCTTTTCGTCGACGTATGCCGAAAGAACAGCGGCTCTTTTGAATGAATTAACTGGTAATGCAAGTTTGAGTTTCTTTATTGACCTGTAAAAAGAAAAAAAAGATGCACAATTCCGTGAAATAGATATATGTGCAGGGCAATTTTTCTAAGATCAATTACCCCCTTTTCTCCATCTCAATACATAACTCTCAACAGTTAAATTTTAATTATTTAAAAAGCTCGGCAAGCCTCGCGCTTTAAATATTAAAATTTAACTGTCTCGATAGGAGAAATATCGTAACACACTTGTTGCAGTGGTGAAATATATATTTCTTACACATACCGAAAAACATTCCAAACTCATCCACCATGGCCGTTTTTTTATTTTTTTTTGTGGTGAATTTCGTATGACCTCATAGTCCGAATCCGGGAAATTCTATTATACGAAAATGCGGGAAAATATGTTGAATTTGTATAAATTTTAGGTCAAAAACTCTATTTTATGCTTATTTAATGTTATAAGTTTCACATATTTTTGCCGTTTTCTCTGTTTGTTTCATACTTTATAGATTTAATTTTGATAACCTTACTAGTAATGTGGATTTTAATGGCTAGCATTCATCATTTTATCTTAAAAAAAACTTCCTATTTAAAAGATATTTTAAACACGGTTATATAAAACTACTTTTAAAAGCGCATTTTACAGTTGCCGTCAATTTGTTACAAAAGAGAGGATTTCATCTTTTCAATAACAAACTGTCCTTTTCTGGAGAGCGGTGGTCACTTACTGGCCTCTCATAAATACTACCGACTTTAATTACATTCTAGGAAACCTGTACGGGTATTGTTTTAATTTTTTTTTTTTTTTTTTTTCTTGAGCGGCAGTATTCATCACTTGTGGCTACCTTAGCTAGTTTACTGTAGTATCAAGTACTTGAAGTTAAATGGTCCTTCCCTAAGGACATGCATAGATCAACAGCGATGTTGTTTTTGGTAAGCGTACAACAATATCACTCCCGATTCAAATTGTCAAATTGTTCATTTAAAACACGTTCAGAACAAAGGAAATAGGGATTTTTGAAGTAACTTTTTAGCTGAAGTAATTGATAGTTTGATCAAATTTCGTCATAAGATTAATCAAAGAGGGAAATACAACGATCAGCAGACGTGCAAAAACTTATTATCAACAAAAAGTTTAATAGAGATTGATTTGCTTTTCGAACAAAAACACGCATTTGCATTTGCATTCGTTTAGGTGCTTTTAAATGTTAAAATAGAAAGACTATGACATGTACGTAAATAAGACAGTAACCTATGAAAGTGACATTTATTGCCTTGTGGCTAGCAATAATACTAATGCATTTCATTACAATATAACTTATTTTTAGGTATTACCTTTTGACTTGGAAAAAAGCCACAAGGAAAAAACAGCTTCGAATACGTATTTCTTTTCCAATAAAAAAAATCCCCTTTCTTATCCAATCGCGTTACTTTGCTGTGTATATATAATGGAGGGATGAAATTAAAATAAAATCAGATCTATATCCATAATAGAGTTTAGAACAAACGTAAATATGCACCTTTGTTTATTTATTTAGCTAAGATTGCAGTCATTAGGGAATTGTTAATGAATTAATTTAATTCTTTATACCTTTTTTTCATATTCATGTTATGTAATTTTTATCATTAATCGTATACCATATATACGAAACAATTTCCCTTTTCAAGAATGTTGCAATAATAATTCTTTTATTTATATAATATATGTATATATTTAAATGCACACAGCTGTTCAATGATTTTTATGGGTTTTCGCAGAAATCATGTAGCAAAACATACTTCATGATTCATATGAGGGAGAAAGATATGCTAAAATACTCGCGAAACACATATTGTGTCAATCTTTAAAGTTCAAACTCAGAAATTATTTCTTCTATAACCATGATAACTATTGTTTCTTGCCATTTTGTCCGTTTGATATCCTCTCGGGATATTTGTTTTGACAAATGAAGACATTGAAGTGACAAATGTAGCGTCTTTTGTTACTTGTTTTAATTTCAGGTTTTCATTTATGAACACGTTACTGACCCAGTGAGTGCTAAAACATCACACTATAAAGTTCAAAATTCATTAATGTTGGATTTCCTAGAAAAACATTGGAAACAGAAAAAATACCTAGAATATCCACTTTACTTTTTCTTAATATTATAATGATGTCCAACTCATGATATTCTTTTCAATAATATCACAAAGATTAATAGGTTATTGATGCATTAAGGCATTTGCGCTAGGGACGTGCTCTCAGTCTCCTCTTCTTTCCTTTTCTTCTTTGTGTTGAAAATTATTTGTAGTAAATAAGTGTGAGATTGTGTGAATACATTTTAGTTAAACGACTGTATTAGAAAGAGAAAGAATAAATAAAAAGGGATTAAAATATTTAAGAAAATCTAATAACATAAATTTAAAAAGAGAGGAGAGGGAAGTGCACCAGATGAGTGTTTCAGCTGTTACATCTACTACATATAAGTTGTCTTTTCAACTTTAATAATTATTGAACTGATTTTTTTTCAGATAATGAGGAAAATACTCTTCATCTTTGCATCATTACCAGTGTTAGCCTGGTCTCTGGTTGTGGAGGACGATATTCCACCAATGTTACAGGAGTGTTACAATGAACAGACATATTCCAACTCTTTGGACGTACAGACGAACTGCTTACAAAAATACTTGTTCCATTTATTTGGAAATTCCACACAACAAACATTATTGGACAAGAATGCATTAGACTGGATAGACTCACTTGGTCGAAGTTTGCATAACAGATTAAAGAGACAAGCAAGTTATAATAGATATAATACATATAATAGATATAATAGATATAACAGATATCAAAGGCCAATCCCTTCAGTGGATAGAAGACGAGTGAGAAAAGAAATAAGGACATTGACAGACCAGGAGAGGCAGGTCTTCTTTGATGCTATAAATGCACTGAAGAATGATAGGGTAAGAATTAAAATACGTTTTCGGTATCCATGTTGACAGTAGCAAATACATTAATCTTTAGGTCCAACAAATACGACTGTTCGCCAATGCTACTAAGGTATAAGTTTGCTACACTTCAGGGCAATACAGAGCAAAACAACACGATGTTGTTAAAATAATAGATATTGATTTGTAAAATGTGACCTTTTATGATTGTTCATATTCTTTTTGTGTGTGTCCAAAGTTAAGAACCTGCAATCCAGTTGTTGTCGTTGGTTGCCCACTTCCATTGTTGTGTTTTTGTTTATTTATCACTCGTTGAAGACTATAGTCTCGAAAACATAGAAATGTCAGTTTATTTTTTGTACTGTTGAGTTGCTTTCTCATATAAAATACTACTCCTTATTGTATTAAGTGGCATTGTAACTGCTGTAAATTTGATTTTTTTTTTTTGGGGGGGGGGGGGGGGGGGGGGGTAGGGCCTTAATTTCATCAATACTAAATTTTGGTCACGAGCGAACCTGAGGTAAGTATTCAAGAACCACATTCTTCTGCGCACGGATGTCAAATTATTTGTTATTTAACAATTATAGATCATAAACATCATATGTATAATTTATTTTCTTGATTCAAAGATAAGTAATAGTGTTTGAATCAACTGACTAAACTAATGTATATTTCGCCTATCTAAAGGTATTTTAAGCTATTCTTTATTGTTATATAGTGTATATTTCTGTTTTTGTAGTCAGCGAGCCCAAATCAATATGATGTCCTTGCCTTAATGCACCAAACTGGAGCTCTAGCCTCTGCTCATAGAGGTCCAAACTTTCCTAGCTGGCACAGATACTATCTCCTAATGTAAGTAAAGGGATTATAAAAAAATTTACCAACAGAAGTAGTGGTCTATCACTTTTCATTCGAAATGTAGTGCAGCATCAAATCAAGCGCCTGTCTTGGTTTTTTATTTTCCTTTTATAATTTGAGTAACTTTTCTGAAAAGACAATACAAATAAGTATAAAAACGGTAGCGCGTAGGCATTTATTGGATATTTATAAATACACTTTTTTAATATATAAATATTTGTTATACCGGTGAAATGTTAGTCTTCGATGTTAAATGCCAACCGGTAGTCGCGGCATATGTGCTTTCATCATCGAACTAATCAGAGTTGAGTATTGCTCAGCGTGTATTTAATTTAAGTTTAAGTAACAGTGAATCAATTTAGATGTGGCATAGCATTGTGGGAACGTCACTTTTTTAATATAAGTTCTAATTTGTTCTATTCCTGTGGATAAATTCGTCTTCAGGCTTCAGTTATTACAAATTGTCAATAATGTATATCAGGTTGTCCGAATTGTTGGCCTCAACTGTGCATTAAAGCGTGTTCACAGACATTTTTTCATGTGCACGAAAATTAGTATAGTTTTTTTTTTACACCAAAATATGTTTAATATTTGTCAAATAAAGGCGATTTTATATTAAACTATAATTCAAATAGAAATACAACTATATTACTTAGTTACGTGTCACGTAAGCCTTGCCATCAAATAAAACTACCAACGCGCAAACTATAAAGGAAAAAACTTTACCAGTACAGTTAATAGACACTGAGAGATATATAAATAACTGTTTTAAGGGATTCTTTTGTGGGTATTTAGAGACTGTAGTAAATTTTCCTTGCAAGAAAGATAAGATGATACATCCGTTTTTTGAAATTATATGATTCAAATGTCCAATTTCTGAATTATTTATTTTGATCAATCAACTTTTCTGTAATTTTTTTCGTAAACTCTGGTTTATTCGTAGGAAGAGTTGAAGAGTAATGTCATATTACCTACTGTTACTTCATTTTCCTTAATACTTTAAGTCTTTGAATACGGTAACCTTTTGCTACATTGCTTTAAATCAACCAAAATATTACATATTTTTGAAAAATACAAAAGTATTGATTAACTAGAGATATTATATTTTCAATTCTCTAGATAGACACATTTTTGACAAAAGGGAGACTTAACACAATTTCCATAAGGGAAATAATAGAATAAACATATTCACGATTTATAAACCTAAAAGGTGAACTGCTATTTTACAATCCAAGATGGCGGTATACAGTTAATCTACCTTAATGAAAATACAACAAAACACACACTTGAAAAACATTGTATAATTTCTTTACCTAGCATAAAATAGATTTAGCAAACTGCCAATGCAGATTAGATAATGTGTATACAAGCAAGGAGAACTTAATTATCTGCAGCAATTACTAGAAAATTGAAGATAAATCAAAAAGTCAAAAAATAAAACAATTGTTGACTTTTGATATCAGTTGATACACCTGAGTTATTAACTAAATATGTATATATCATATGCACCTCGTCCGTTATCCTCGGTAAGTATCACATGTAATAAATCATTGTATTAACCTCATCAACTTTCAATAATTGTATGGTAAATAGACTAATATCGGCAATTTCATACATTCTATGTAACGTACAACACTTGTTTTATTTCTATGTTCTTCTTTTCCTTCAGTTTCGAAGAAGCCTGTATCAGAAAGAGAAGTAGGTTTGTTCTACCATACTGGGATTCTTCTATAGATTATAGAATGAGTGATCCATCTGAATCAGTTCTGTGGACAGAAATATTTCTTGGAAATGGGAGAGGTGTAGTATATACTGGCCCATTTGCAATGTGGAAAACACCTGCAAATAATACATATTTAAGGCGAGATATTCCAGGCGCAAACAGTTCTTTAGTTAATCCAGATACGATAGTTAACGTTTTTAGGAAACGTTATAACAGAGAAATATTAACACCAACAGCGGCAACAGACGAGGACAATTTAGAAAATCATCATGACGGTGTTCATCGATGGGTTGGAGGTCAAGATGGTCATATGGGCGGTTTAGAGACTAGTCCACAAGATCCTGTATTCTTTTTGCACCACTGTTATATAGATTACATCTGGGAAGTATTTAGAGAAAGACAACAGAGACTGGGAATAAACACAGAAGAGGACTATCCAGAAACAACTAATGAAAATCACCACCCGAATAGAATGATGGATAATCTCTCTCCACCAAGGACCAATAAATGGGGTTATAGTAATCAATTTACAGAACGTAACGGTATCTATCGTTACGCCCCAGCACCCACTTGTGCCAATAGATGCGGTGGAGCCTACAATGGTTACCTGTTTTGTAACAGAAGAACTGGCCATTGCGAACCTAGAACCAAAAGGCAATTCATAGATATGGGTGGTTTCAGAAATATAGATAGTCCTTACATTAATGACCAACCGATGGTTGCTTCTGCTGCAAATACACAAGCGGCACAAGGGGGTAGATTTAGGCCTAGCTCCGAGTCCAGATTGAGTAGCTCAAATCCCGCTCCGTCAATTTTGAGACATTTTGAGACACACATTGTCGATCCAAGGACAAGAACTACACGCAAAAAGCGATCAATTGCTACATTTGATACCGATAATGTAGCTATACAGTCATCTTACCACCCTAATGTATTAGCAACAATACCAGTAAAAATTATCAACACACATCATTTATCAGGTAACAACCAGAACTCATTTGAAAATGTTAATTTTGTACAACAAATATCTACCTTTAATGTTTCCTATGAAACTGTTGGCTTTTCATACAATGGTAATCATACGGGTCATATTATAATTGATGAAAAAACACAGACTGCAGAATCTACTGTTATGATTGCATTTAAAAAACCTATGCTCGGTGTGACAACAGCTCACGTAAGAGTTTATGATTCTTACGGTGGAATATGCAAATCAGAATGCTTTGAACCTGGATTTAAGTTTTATAAGGAATGTTCCGGAGTTCTAAAAATAACAACAGATCTACCTCTTATGTTCAATGACCTCAGTGGACATATACAAGATTCTCAAAGACCATACATGATTTTTAAATGCTATAATTAATTACATAAAACAACTTTGGTTGTCCTGTGATAATTTGTGAATTCCAGTAAAGCCGGCAAGGGGCTTTTCATTTCATAAGTAACGTAATTGTATATGTATTGTTACTATGAAGAGAAAACAAAAGAAGTGTTGAGCATTAGGTAGGTAAAATCATTTTTAAAGGATTAATTGCTAAATTTGACATGACTTTGTGAATTGAAATCCCCCCTCAAATTATCCAATATTTTCTTCATTGCGAAAAAATTGTTCCTGATTTTTTCAAGATTCCAGTTAAGAAAAATTATTTGAATTTTTTTTTTTAAAGCTTGATATTTTAATCATGCTTTATAATTCAATTTTGGATGTAACACGTCTTCTGATTGGCTGAAAGTGTTTTGTCTATCAGCTCATAGACATAATTTTGTCATGTGACCGCGACGTCATCAACGTTTTTATCATGATTTACTCCTTTTTAGAATTAAATTATAAGAAATGACTTTAATATTTTTTTCTGTCTATTCGAAATAACATAAAAAATGTGGTGCACACTTTTAAATAACCCGCTACGCGGGTTATTCAGTGTGCACCATATGTTTTATGTTATTTCTTCATAGACAGAAAAAATATTACAGTCATTCCGTTAAATAAAATAATTACGACCATATATTGTAACGTTACGTTAATCTTCAATGTGTCCTTTTTTCATTATGACATGTTACACACTGTTGATCGTTAAGTTTTCGTCCTTTTTTGTTTGTTTGATTGATTGCTGTTGTTTTTGGTATGTGTGTGTTTTATAATTTGGCTTTCAAATTTTTGTTTTATTGTATGAATGTTAATGAAAGCTAAATATATGTCTTATTGGTAACCTTGTACAATATTAATATGTTACATTTATAAAAAAAACCTGTTTTATAAATATGTTAAGATATACCTATAGATATTTTTTTTTTAATAATCATCTTAGTTTTATATTTTGTATTAAATAACATTCTCCATTTACAGATTTCTTTGTTGAATTATATGTCTTACTCATAATAAAAACTAAGTAATAAAAATATTGCATCATTTTATAAGAATAAAATCAAATGATGGAGAACACAAGTGAGAGTTGATTGATTGATGACTGAAGAATGTTCAGCGGCATATTTCACATACACATATGGTATTCAGATATGAATATAACGGGCTTTGTACAAGACAGATAAGCATAACGGAATTTTAACGTAATTGTTACAAGGTAACAGTCTGCAGAAAGACACATAACTCGACTCCCTCAGACACATTATCCCACTCGAACAGTCCCTGTCTCATCTCCTGAAAGCCGTTTGCTCGCCGGAAAAGCAGTAAAACCAATATAAGAGTCTTTTGTTGAACCCAAGAACTCCCAAATCTGCCATGAGACCACTTATAGTTTTTGTTTAGAAATCGGACATTGTCTTCAAGGCATATATTGAATTGATTATTATGAATGTGTTAGTCGTATGGACTCTGGCTTGTTATTTGGTTTGTGACGTGCATTACTATCTCACAGATGAATAGCTCAAATCTTTGTTTATTCAGATGGAAGTGTTGTACTAATGTTTATGAGATATTATCTTCAAACTCACACAAAACTACCAAAATCATCTAACATTGGGAGATCAGATTTTTATTTCCAATACAACAGGATTTTTTCGTCGTTAATTTTTGGTACATCCTGATAGTTTGAATTGTAATGAGATCCTTTGTAACCGGGTTTTGAGGACTTCGTGTTGAACTGTCTTTTATTTTCTATGAAGAGTTTTGTGGACATGTTCGTCTTTTCGTTGCTTTTCTTTTTTTTTGCCATGATGTTGTCAGTTTTCTTTGACCTACTGAGTTTTGAATGTGCCCTTGGTATCTTACACATCTTTTTTTATCTTAAGTTCCAAAATTATTACGATATGAAGTCATTTGTTTGGTTAAAATGGGAAAGTTTAGTTTACCAATCTGATTAAAATTCAGACCTATATTAACTCGCGTGTCGTAAATGAGTATAACGAAATCATAGAACTATTTTAATTAGGTTGTAGTTTTTCTTGATTAAGATAGCATCGATTTAAAATTTGACTTTATTAACATACTCTATAACAACATATTAAAAAATTCAGTTCATGGCGCGCGGAAGTAGACTATAACTATATAAGATATCTGATAAACTATATGAGATATCTTATAAAGTTTATTAGATATCTTGAAGTTAGAATAAATAGTAAAATGGCTTGCAACACAAATGGATACATTTTCATTTGATAGACAATATTTAAAAAATAAAATTTTGGTTTTGGTTAAGAATGTCCTTAGGATTTCTCAAAATTTTCTAAAATTGAAGTGTTTACCATATATAAGTATGTTCTGAAATACAGTTACACTAAAAGTGCTGTTTAAACCTTAATGTACCTCATTTGAACTTATGTGAATCTTAAAAGGCCTTGCTGTGAAATATATTCATAGGAAATTTGCCCTACCTCTTTTCTTTTTGATTCAGACAAGTTTGATTGTATTAGCTTATTTCATTGTAAAGAAGATATCACTTTTATTGTGTCTTTTCTAAACCATCTAGTACAATCCAGAATCCTCCTAGTACAAATTTGGATATTCCGATTTCTACTAGTCAATATGAATTCTGATTTGTACTGGATTTTAATAAATATATATCAAAATTTAAATTTGAATTCCTACTAGTGGATATTGGAATTCAATTTGTACTTAGGAAGATTCTGGATTCTACAGAATTCTAATTTGTACTGTAACAGTTACACTGGGTAACAAAAGTAACAAATTAGAATCCAAAATGATAGATGGGATCACAGGCTCATTGGAGCTTCTAGTTTTTATAGATACATTATGTTTTTCCTATTGTAGATGGGTTTTGTTTATAACGTTTCTTCAATGCTATATACCCAAAATTGCCACGTTTAAACATATCATACAGAGCAGATCTGAATAATATTGCTCCAAACACTTTAAAAATCATCTTTTGGACAATTGGAATAAAGTTGTCGATTGGCTTGATAAAACAGCATTAATTTAAATACATGATATTTTATAATGTCTTAAAGAAAGTATGAATTTATATCAAATTGTTATATATTGAGGATATGAATAAAGATGTTTCCAGTATTTGTAAGCCAGTTCTATCTATTTAATTTATAATTTACTTAAACTGTAGAAACAATTGAAGTCAGTGTGAACAGTTTTTACTTAAAGCTACAATTCAAAATAATATGAACATGTTTTATATGCCATTAATAATCATGATTTACCAAATATGGTTAGAGTTGGCAAGTTTTGTATATATGTACATATTTTGGACCATAGATAATCATGATTTACCAAATATGGTCATGTTTAACAAGTTTTTTTAATAAAGACTTTTGAGTTGTTCTCACTCAAGTCCAGATAGATCTAGATTTATATATCTTGTATTTAATTAGCACATACTTACAACTTCTCGTCCAATCAAATTGCTAGAATTTGCCTTCTTATTTTCATAGTAAGTAACTACGCATGAATGACCACAAGGGTAAGATTTCATTGTATCGAGATATTAAAACAAAAATTGCCACTGGCTATTTTGAAATAAAATGCTGTGTTCCAAATTAAATTAAATAGTTTGTAATATAGTTTTCACGTTGATTTTTACATGTAAATATCCTGCTATTAAAATCTTTGGATCTAAAACAGGTTTTTGACGATTGCAAGTTTCTTTCATTTAAAAAAAGAGTAACAAATATGGTTCTTTATAACTTGATTAGAGTACAAAGCCATCTTAAAATTTATCATCCAAGCAATTACTTTGTACACAAAAGAGTGTGTACTATGAAACTTTGTGAAGGGAAATTCAGGCAAATTGATCTATTTTGTCATAAATTGATTGATTGATTGATTATTGGTTGCTTAATGTCCAGTGACAAATATTTCATGCATGTTAAGGACGATGTCATGAATTGCAAAACCGTAATAATGTCTGAAAAGAATGTGCCACCTATATATATATATGTATATACATGTTCTGATACATCTTTTAGTTTTTACTTTGAAATAGAAAAAAAAACATAAACCCTAGTATCTTTGATCTATTGGTAGTTGCTTCCTAATACTATCTGCAGACTATCTATGGGGACATACCAGGGGCGGATCCAGCCATTTTTGAAAGGGGGTTCCAACCCAGGTAAAAAGGTGGGGGGGTCCAACCATATGTCCCCATTTAAAGCATTGATCGTCCAAAAATTGGGGTTTTCCAACCCCCTCCCCCCCCCCCCTCCCCCCCCCCCCCTTTCCACCTACCTGGATCCGCCACTGCATACTATCTATATGTTTCAAATTTGTTATAGCTTTAGTTTTACTGTACAATTGAAAAATGTTTTCAAGACATGTAAAGCTTCCTCTGCAATTTAATCATTGCCTGCTTTTGGTCAATTTAGTTTGTCATCTTACCATGTAAAGAAGTACATGTATAGTAAAAACACCGCTTTATACCAATAAACATACTTATACCAGCAGCTACCATCTTTTCATTCTGGAGTCAAGGGCCTTTTGAAATCACATATTTTACAATGATACTAGTGAGTAGATTTACAAAACTTCGTTAATGAGCTCAGTTTTACAAACACATGTGATACAAGTAGTCAGCCAAAATAAACTATCAATAGACCAATTAAAAGATTACTCGAGTTGTAAATATGTGCTAAACTAGATAGTCTATGAAAAGGTATATACTATGAAATTAAGAGCTTGGGGCAAGCCCCTCGCTCTAAATTTCATAGTATATACCTTTTCATAGACTAACCTAGACGTAGACAATGTTAATTGATATTCTATACTAAAGATAGAAGGTCTGTTTTGAAATTTGAAGCAGCTAGTTTTACTTTCAACAAAGTAAGTACCTTAGGTGTTTTCTACATTTGAATGATCTGTGACATACTTCTGTTTTACTTTCGCAAATACTTGGAGAGACTATTAACTATTTTGTTTTTTTATACTGGGTTGTATATTCATTCAATTAATCACCATTAGTCAGTCTCCAATATTTTGGTAATTCCTGTTCCCCTTTTTTGCAAAAACTTTTATATCCTACAATATTGATATGTGCTAAAAGTATGCATTGTGATAATTGTGTGTTTATGCCCTGCTTGCATTTATTCATATAATATTTATAAGATAACATATTTTGGTCTGTACTTGACTATTATAAAAATAAGGAGATGTGGTTAATGATTGCCAATGAGCTGTCCGCCAGCTTTCAGATGAAGTAGAGGTCAGCAATTATAGGCCACTATACAGCCTTCAACAATGACAAAATCATACCATATAGTAAGCTCAAAAAGGCCCCAACATGAAAAACGTGTAACAATTCAAACAAGAAACTGCCTAATTCATTAAGATTCATGTTTACGTTTAGCTTATTGGGGACAACCTGCCATATGGGAAATGGTCCAACTACTCCAAACAAAAAAAGATGAGGAAATAGTGACAACTAACAACATATGGCCCAGATAGCCTGACTTTGTACAGAAACAAACTCTGTTAGGGTTAAACCAGATTTATGTGCATACAATCCTTCCATCTTTGTCAATCAAGAAGGTATAATTGCAATGACTGGACATAACTTGAAAAACTAATCCAAAAGATTGGAAAATAGGTAGCCTCTGTCACACAGGCACTTGTCTCAGTAAAAAATTTCCTATATACCTTAAAGCAAAGTCTGTTACATAATATGTATATTTTATAGTTGTCTACAAGATACTCCTGATAATCTTGACTGACTGAAAAGAAATTTGAGTAAGTACACACAGTAGTTGGATACTATTCATGATACGTGTGGCGAAGTTAAGCCGGTCTCTGTGTTTAGGGTTCACTGATGCTATACCTCCTTTTTAGGTATAGTAACGTCCCCTACTATACGTATCAAGTATCTGCTACTCCTTGTGCGAACTGAGTGCGTAGGCTCAGTGATCCTAAGCCTGGTGGCTCAGTCTGACCAAGTGTGGTGGCTAGGTCAAAAACATCTTTAAGACTGAGCCTAGCC